GAGAGAGAGAGAGAGAGAGAGAGAGAGAGAGAGAGAGAGAGAGAGAGAGAAGAGAGGACCTCTTATCTTGTGGGAGCCAGTTCTTACCTTCCACCATATGGGTCCTGGGAATTGAACTCTGGCCATCAGGCTTAACAGCAAGCACCTTTACCCGTTTTTACCCACCTTTACACCTTTACTGAGCCATCTCACGGGTCATAAATGAAATTTGATAAGAAATAAACAATGAAAACAAGATTGTTCCATTCTTAAAACTCTCCAGCTTCATCTGCCCAAGCCTAAAACTGGGCCAGGGAAGGAGATATTACAAATAATAGTATTTTGGCCTCTGTGAGATTACTTTGTGTGTTTGGGTTTTGTTTTGTTTTAAGTCAGGGTTTCTCTGTATAGTTTTGGAGCCTGTTCTGGAACTCACTCTGTAGATCAGGCTGCCCTCAAACTCACAGAGATCCACCTGTCTCTGCTTCCTGAGTACTGGGATTAAAGGCGTATGCCACCGCCGCCGCCACCACCACCACCACCACCACCACCTGGCTGGGATCACTTTTGTTGAACAGTTTGCTGGTATGGTGTCATCTTTCTGTCTATTCTGTGTCATTCTATAATGAAGACTGCCAGGAAAAATGTCTGCTTTACAACCAGAAGCAGTTATGACTTTCCCAAGCATGGGGCTTTATAAAGTTATTTGTTATATGTCATGGACGTTATGTAACTGATTGAATATCCCCTGTTGCACTTGCTACCAGGAAGCTCAGGTCTAAAAACTGACACTTTGAATAGCGTTTAAGACTTGGAGTCTCTGTCTTATTTATCAGTCAGATTTTCAATTCTTGTGTTAACTACTAATTTGTAATTTGTATTTCATTGCTTTGTGTTCCCTTATGAGTCCTTTATGGATTGGGGTATGTCCCCAGTCATTGGGGCAAAGCAAGACTTAATTAAGTGTACACACAAAATGCTTACTCCAGTGCACAATGTCACCAGCTGACCCAGGACTTGACCTATAGGCTGGAGAGAGCTGGTGCTGGCTTCTGAGCCATGTCTTGCTGCAGGCTCCAGCCACACAGACCCCTGGCAGCCTAGTCCATGTTCTATGGGCTGTGACGTGCTAGGCCTTACAATGGATGGCTGTCCCCGACAAGCAGAGGTCTGGGTCCCAACCATCCTCTGGTGTTTCTGGCTTCACCACACTGTACTGACAACCTGCTGGCCTCGCTCGACTTCCTGACTCCACTTCAGGTCTCTCTGCATTGCCACTTAGAAGTATTCCTGAGAAACTGCCACAGCTCTATGCTGTGCTAAGCCACCTCCTAGTCCTTTGGGTGCTGTGTGGTTTGCGTGGTCACAAGACTAGACCAACTATGGCTTGTCGGTATGTCTCCGGCCTGGGCCTGAGCAGCTGCTGCTGATGAGAGGGCAGGTGTGATGGTCAGCTGAGACAGGGCTGAGCTCACACTAATTGCTTCTCAAGAAGGGTGCTTAGCTTGAGAGCCCCACTTCCCAGACAAGAAAACTGAGGCTTAGAGAGATGAAGTATGCCCTCAAGGTCAAAGGACAGGGGGCTTTGCCTTCCACTTGGTGCTGAGTATCCTCTGTCACACCCCCTCCCTCCCCAAATACTACGGTTTGGATGAGACCGGAGAGCTTCTAGTCACTTGGCTAGGAGGTCCTCGGAAGGGTGTAGTGTCACCACTCTGGTGCCACAGTGTAGTCCCTCCCCTTTTCTCTACAGAGCACCATGGAAGAATGGGATTCCGGCCATGTGTGCTGATGGCCACCTGCTGTAGAAACTGGGGGATGAGTGGAAGGAGGTGTTTGGGGCCTGGGGACAAGGAGTCTTTCTGGGACAGACTTCCTTATGGCCTCTGCCTGCATTCAGTACTGTGCCCTCTGTCCTCTCCACAAAGCCAATTAGAGCAGGTCATTTAGGACTTGACGGTAACAGGATCTGCAAGAGCCCCATCCCTAGCCTGGGAATCAAGGCAGCTGGTGTCCATCCCTGTTTGCGTGACCTCCAACCTGTCCCTTGACTCTGACAGCGTGAGTTTTGTCACCTGTTAAATAATGGGATCTGAGTTCTTACCTCCCTCCCTCCCTCTGTGATAAGCAGAATCTGTTTGCTGTGAAATGTTTTCCATCTCACATCTGAAATCACGGCTCAGAAGTGACTCCCAGGGGCTGTCTGGGTACCTCCTTGTACTACCTCTCATTGTTGAAAGCACAAACCCCTCCAAAAAAACAAAAGGCTTCGGTGTATTAGG